CCGGAGTAGGTAGCTGAAGATGTTGGCACACTGTATCGTTCCATGCACAACCCGCAATATCAGGATACTCGCTTCCAATTTAAAGCTGTGCCTTCAAGGGGACGCTGGTATGGATAACAATGAATAAACGAATAACTGACCACATTCCTTGAGAACTACGCAAGTGTCCCCTACTAGGTGTTGTAGATACACCAAGCCGAAGCTGTAACTGAGCCTCCGCTTCCACACTGTTCATAATGGCAGCCGACTTCGTAAATCTTCTGGTAAGCCATCTAGAAATCAATTTTGTCAAACCAGTAGGAATGGAGGGGCAAATATGTGACTTACATTGGCGAAAGTGTACAAATTTTCATCAGTAAAGGTAGCATTTGGTCCCAAGGCATAGGTGTCCGTTGGCAAGAGCCAGTAGTCTACCGCATCGCTTATGAACTGATACTTCGCATATTTGTCAGTAGTGCCTGTTAGAGCGTGACTGAAATCGACCACAGTATTTGGGGGAATTTTTGATGGGGCGGAGCGAAAATTGGGCCATTCGACTCACTGGTAGAGATTCATTCCTTTTTCTGGTGCCCCGGTGACATTGGCAGGACAGTTTTTGATCAAATCCCTCGCCTGTTTTTCGAGAGTGCAGTTCCATCTCTGGAATTCAGAATATAGCTGATCAGCTATGCTGCCAAGGTTATTGGTGATTGCTCTTCGCGTTACCGGTGCCTTGACTTTGATATATTCCGGCGTGCTTGTAGAATCAGATCCTATAGCTCAAAAGGCGTTCAGAGATATTTTCCCGAGCAGCGTGTAATTTTTAATGGTTGCTGGCTTTGCCAGTTTCACGGGTGGTCATTTCCTTCCCCGCCTCCTCCAGTACCAACCTTTTGTGGGTAATGCTGGAAGTCCAGTCCGCTAGATCTCGGAACGCGTCATAGAATCGGCATTCAATCATCATTATTTCAGACGTAAGCAATCCTTTCTCACATAATTCATAAAATTTGAACTGACCATGCGAAATAAATTCTTAGCAGGTGGGAGGAAACCGTAGTCGTTATCTGGCGACTCTCCCAGAGCGAGTACCATTCGGGGTCCATCGTGATAGTAAAGGAATTTGTAGCGAGTATTGTCGTCCATGAATTCGCCGTGGTCCTTGCAAGACTCTATAAGAATGGAGGGCATACTTTGCACACAAATTGTATCATCGCTTAGAGTTTCTTGTTCTGGTATGTCCTCTGAAAAGAGTGGCGTTGCCAAAGGGTCTTCTAGGAAAATTCATGAGCATCTGGAGACGTGTTCTTGAGAGGTGGTTGTAAGTAATGAAGGCGGAACTAGTCGAGATCTGAGGCGATGCGCTCACTACAAGCGACAGTAGCGTTCTTAGGCAGCGTTCAGACTTCGCGACGGCAGCGCTTCGGTCGCGCGATTCGACGATCGATGCGCATGCTTTCGACTGCATCGATCGCGTCGAAAGACCGGAGCGTGCTATCGCGAAGTCTGAACGCTGCCTTAGACTCTAATCAGGCAGGCACGACCACGTCGAGCGACCGAGGACGATCCTCACAAAACAGAGGGAACGAAAGAGAATCTGGTCAGACTACGTTCGTAGGTGAGTAGGGGAGTGAGGTGTAGGGAGTGGGGAAAAAGAAATTATAGCCATCGAACTGGCGAGTTAGAAGGATGGGAGAATAAGCGTCGAAGGGAGCAACTGGTAAACACCTGACACCTGTTACTAACGAGAATAGGTGAACGCGAGCTGAAGGAAAGTACCCACGGGCGCAGTTTGGACAGACAGTGGGGGAGGGGGCGTTTTGCACTTTTGCTACTTCCCATCGACGTGTCAACCCATAACAGCCTCTTCTCGAGTTGACAGGTTCTAACATGATGGCTTCATGACCTTGCTCCAGCTTCACAAGAGTTCACAGGTTTCGCCAGAGTGAGACTTGTAAAACCGGAACAATATTAGTGCAAAATGCCCTTCCCCGACACCAAACAGCGCCTATCCATGTATTCTCCCGTCGCGTCGCTTCGGATCTGGCAACTTCAGAGATCTGCCATCTAGACCTTTGGCGAGCATTCTTCTATTTTCCCACTTTACCACATCAAAACTTGTACTTCCGTATGGCTCGCATGCGCCTCGTTCTTATCCTTCCGAGTCGTAAGCTACGAATTCTCTTTCTGAAACCCTCGGTCGCAATCGCTCTGCACGCCATGTGAGCGATAGAGTTGATTGCTGTGCGTGTCGAGTGCTGTGAGCCACTAAATCGCGACCTGTTATTGCACTCTGAAGAATAACGCGACTCTTGCTCAAGGGGACTTCGTCTGGCAAGGTTTTTTTGTTGGGGTTGTAGCCTTTCATTCAATCGGCTTCACATCCCGAGCATCAGCTAAAGAGGGTTCTCAACTGAAGTAATAAAAACAATACTCAATGTTCAGCATGCGATGGGTTTTCTAGGAGTTGCTGGCTGATGGCGGCAGAAGGAACTGGGAAGAACCGCAGTCAGGAGCAATTTTCCACATCCGATGATGTGGCCTGCTGTAGGTTTCCAGTAGGTGCTTGATTCTGGGCTGATGTAAGCACAACTGAACCCAGTGTTTTCATATTCACAGAACGTGGCTCAGGAGGATAAGCCATTGAGAGGGCAGAAGGGTTACCTTCTCCTAGCAATAAGAAGAAAAAGCATGAGACGTACGTGTGTCTGCAGTCGGCCGATATCCAACGCAGAAACCGCAAAGGCTCAAAGAAGAATGCCAAACTGAAATCCTGTTATTTTATATGGATGAATGTGGTTGTTGAAACTTATACCTACCGTGAACATTTTTGACGATTCCGCAGGCGGCATAATCGAAGCCCGGGTGTGCTGTGAAGTTAGCGAGATTAGCGCGGATTATTTATAGTACGAAGCACGAGTTATGTTTTTACAGCTAACCGAAGAGAGGTTATCAGTGCTAGCGAGCCCCAGTTTCTTTGTTCTCTTTTTTTCACAAGTGCATGATCCTTGCCCTATGCGCTACCTTTTTATGAGCGGTAGGCGCTGACTTTCAACGGAGAACATGTGACTTCAATCCCCTACCTTAGTTTCGGTGCCATAAACGGCGTTCATACTTCGCGACTCGAGCGATCTGGGAATAGTGCGACTGCGGCCGACCGTGCTACATAGCTAGCCGCACGACCGTTTTGACTGCTTATCGAACAAGGTCGGTGAAAAATTCCTTTCGACACTCGCAGCGGTCCAACGACTAGCGCTGGAGCGCGGACAGTAGCACTTGTCTGATTCCTAAATTATACAACTGTATTGCTAAAAACGCGAAGTATGGGTTCAGGGATAACGCAGTGTTCCCTCGCCTTGACGGACTCATCTCAAGCAATTGCTTTGGAAATTGTGCCGAAATCCCAGTAGGAAACTTGGGAGGATCTTGCTATCTAAAAGCTAGGAAAGGACATTTTCAGTGCGCACCCAGCCTACCGTCTCGACGAATAATGAAGATATCCTGGGCCTCTTGTGTGCAGACCGATCTTCAGAGTCACACTAGTTTGTTTTCTCCGAAGACAGGTTCAGTTTCCTGTGCACTGTGCCATCATAGCTATACAATGGGACTTACAAACGAGCACATAGAGCTGCGGAAAAAAATCGTGGGCGTCAGAAACCTCCGTCAAAAACATTATCGCTTACATTGAAACCACGCCGATAATTTCCTTTGTATGTGGAAGAAAAGTGGTGTCTTTAGGATGTTGCTTTTAGGGTTTCGAGGATGTACTCGTATGTAGTTGGTTTCACACCATGCGCGCTCGATTTGACGGAAAAATCAAAATTTTGTGGAAAACTGGTATGTTGGCAGAAAGATTGTGTGAGGGGGATGCATAAAAGCTCCGGAAGAGGAAGTTAAGCGCGAAGCCATATTTAGTGCAATGTTTCCACAACGAAATGAGTGCTCCGAACGCGGCTGTGCAACTGAGCACGAAACGAAGAGAAACCTTTCTGAAGGTAGCAGAGAATATTTTCAAAGAGCGGCTACCCTCTGAATGCTTTAATTGAGTAGCCTAGCCCAGCTTCTTGTTCGCCGCCGTCTGAAGATTCTCTACAAAACCGTCCGACGCAGCTGTATTAAACGGACCCTCTGCTGCCTTTGAGAAAGCTGTTCTTCTGAGTCACGCCCGTTTTCTTTCTTTGACGACATGTTGAACTCATTGGTGCACTGTACCATCATGAGCTATTCATCAGATTCTATAGACTAGCACCGCTTGTTGGTTGGTTTATTTGCGGAGCGAAACTTTTTTTCCACAATAGATGCCCTTTAGTAGAGGCAGACAAGGAAGTTTCATTTTGACCATTTAATCTGTGTGTGTACAACTGTTTGAGAGCCAAACTAACCGAGAGTGAGAGCCGTTTTCGCGAGACCAGTAGTACACTTCCGCGGCGTTCAGCCCTACACTACACCTCATATAGTACATCCCGCTGTTACTCGATGGGTAGATACCCCTTTTTATACTGGTAGCCGGGTGTACATTTGTGGTGGGTGGTTATATTATAACGACTTCACGTGAGTGATGGGGAGGCTGCGATGGCAGTGGCGCCATCGTTGTGGAAGTTACACGGTCTCGCAACGGGGTCTTTGGCGCAGGGCTCATTCAGAAGTGGAGAGAGCACCAATACTCAGAGGTTGTCCAGTCATTCAACACCAAAGATTCATTTGTAGCCTCTTTTTTAGGACCCCTGGAGAGACAGGTACTCTTCCCGAAAAATGGTTGCGTGAAGCACGGGAGAAAATGAAGGAGCTAAAAGACGAGAATTCCACAAAATCGCTTCACACCTTCTGGGGTACAGGATCGCTGGCCGGCATATCTCGTCCCAAAATGGTTGAATGAACTCTTTTCAGAAGGCCTCTTCGCGTATTCTATCGTCCATGCCATGCCCTTCTTGATGGGCTAAAATACCTGAGTACCGACCCTGCCCTCTCAAGAGCCTCCCCCTCCCTTTTGTTACCTCTTGACACAATGGTACGGATTGCTGCGAACTTCTCCTTCTTAAAAATGCAAGTTCCTTTTTCTCACTGTGCCTTACTGGATAAAAAAACAATGACCCGTCAATTCTTCGGTAACATGCTTTCAGACTGAAAAAAAAACCATCTCCGTGCAATACCATTCTCCAGTTCGCTTGAGACCCCAATTATTTTGTTATCTGCGACACATACTTCTCAAGAATTAGAAGCAAATAGTTCATTCAGTACCGACTGACATCGCCTATGAATCAAGCCTTCCACGCAGAGGTGTTGGCATAATGTGACTTCCAGACGGCTTCTACAGGAAGGCCAGCTATGAAGGTTAAGAAAAGTCCAAGCCCTCTGCCGCTATCCAGTTCTTTGGGCGTCTACCTGCTACACTACTCGTGCGCACTTGTGAGCTTGTAACTTGCGTCCTTTATGTGCCTTTGCACGTATTCTTCACAAAAAGACCACGAATAAGTATTCTATCATTCAGTGACTGCACAGCATCTGAGTAGAGCTGCTCGTGCCACTTCTGATTGAGCCCTGCCCCGTTGCGGCTAAATACAACCCCATTCGTGATAAATGACGTACACTGCTATCGTCCTCTTCATTCACACACGAATCGCATTAATAAACACCCTCTAGGAACGCTGACCCACGCTACCCGTCTGAGAAATGGTTTACCCTTCGAGTAATGGCGGGATGTACTCTTGAGTATACTGTAGGGATGAACTCCCCAGACGTGAAGTACTAAGTCTCACAAAAACGGATCTCTTTTTCAGCCAGGCTCGAACAGTTGTGCACACATACAATAAATGAACCGGAGAGAACTTCTTTGTCTGCTTACATTGAAAGGGCATTCATTGTGAGCAAAAAAGTTCCGTCTCGCGACTAAATCGACAACTAAATCAACTAAGCTACAAAAAAAGTTGAAACAAGCAAAAAAAAATAGGTCTTCCCTGCAAATTTTTACTTGATTTCCTCTGACTTGTGCACTTAAATATTGTGGATATAGGTAGAAAATGCCTGGGAGAACTATTTTCAAGTCAGTAAAAACGACCGTGAGCAAACATAGAAGTACGCGAAATCTAGATTTCGGCACCAGAGGCCCAGCATCCGAATACAAAGATGATGAGTTATAGCCGTCATAACAGCCCCATCAGGCATCTTTGAGATGACTTAAAGCATGATTCAAA